GCTTTAGGGTTTAAAGGTGTAGGGTTTAGGGCCTAGGGTTTTTCAGGTTTAGGGCTTTGGGGCTTTAGGGCTTTAGGGTTTTAAGGTGTAGGGTTTGGGGCTTAGGGTTTTCAGGTTTAGGGTTTAGGGCTTTAGGGCTTTAGGGTTTTTACGGTGTAGGGTTTACGGCTTAGGGTTTTTCAGGTTTAGGGTTTAGGGCTTTAGGGTTCAAGGTTTAGGGTTTCTTGACAAAGTGGTTCAGTCCATTGGGAGTTCGATGCAGGGCTGCGGCTCTGAAATCCAGGCGAAGAAACGGAGTTCGAATGAGCAGAAACTAGCGACACATTGTTCAGAACAATGGCCCATAAATTGACGATGACCCTGACCATCATGACGACCATGAGCAAGGTCATGAGGATGATATCAAAGTAATTAAATGCGAAGAAGAAAGTAAGCATGCAGATGAAGAAGTCGTGATGATGACGGTGGTCGAGCAGGCGTCGTAGTAAGGATGACATACTTATGGCTCTCGCCAGCAATGAAGGCAAAAGCCCCGCACCGGAACACAAAAGAAAACTAAACCCTGAAAGCCTTAAGCCTTAAGACGTAAAGTTTAAAACAATGAAACCCTGCAGTCACGAGACCTAAACCCAACAACTCAACCCTGAAAGTTACCCAGACCCTCGACACACCAAATCCGATGCCCTTAAGCACTAAGCCCGAAGACCTTGAAGCTTTAAACATTTCGGTGTAAGGACCCTTGTAGCGACCCTGTCTCCTACACTTAGAATACTGGGTTTCCAAAGCCGCCCAAAACCCTGAACCCTATAAGGAGACCTAAACCCTAAACCCTAAACGCCTAAAACCTAAACCCTAAACCCTAAGGAGCCCTGGAACCCTGCCTTCATGTTGTTGTTGGTCTTCTTGGTAGCCGTCTCTAAGTTGCGGATAATGGACCGGTCGCCACGGATCACTGCATCCCTTTTTTGGACAGGCTAGGAAGGAGGATTCACGGCTGTAAGGACTCCAGGAGTTTGGGTCTCAGGGTTTCAGAGTGTAGGGTTTCAGAGTGTGGGGTTTTAGGGTTTAGGGTTTTAGGGTTTAGGGTTTTAGGGTTTAGGGTGGCTTTAGGGGTGCAGGTTGTATGGCATCGGATTCGTCGAGGTTAATGGTAGAACGGTCGAACTGCAGTAAACTCCAGCCGTACTTATAGGGTTTAGGGTTTAGGGTTTAGGGCTATTTATACTTGCAAGCCCAATTGAGGTACTTTAAAGCAGACCGGCCTTTGAAGTTGCATTTCGGGCTCTGATGGGCATAGGATCAGGACTTGCGGGTGGGGTCAGCTGAAGTTCCATCTTCCCAAACTCTCGAAGTCTTCGGGAATCAGGTGCTCGAAGCCCAAAGCCCAAACCCTAAAACCCTGAAACCCTTAAGCTGAGAGCCTTTAAAAAATCCCCGAAATTCGGGCCTCACGCAGTGGATGTCGCAGAAGGCGCGGGCAAAGCCGATCTGCATGGGGTTGCACGCTGCATAGCCCTCCTCAGATTGCTTCAAGGTCGTTATCCAAGCCTCAATTGTTTTTGGGTTTTTGGGGTTTAGGGTTTAGGGGTTTTCCGCTTTAGGGTTTTTCAAGAAGTTGTCATGATTTCATACGGCCCCACTATAAATCAAGGTGAAATTGGGTTTGGGGTCAGCGCAAGGCCTTTAGGTTTGAAGGGTTTGGGGATTAGGGCTTGAGGAGCTTAAGGATTTGGATCAGAGAGTGGCTGAAAGTCTTGGCGTTCCTTTCATGGATCGGATGCGGTTTTGCTTATTTGGTTCTGGGCTCCATCCACCGTTGGGGCTTTAGAACTTGGGGTTCACGGGAATCTATGCGGCTCTTGTAGTCCAGGCCTTATACAGACTGGCCCAACCCTGATCCAGCATTCTCTGCCCTGATGGCCTGAAGCCGGTTTAGGGTTTCGGGTTTCGGGTTTAGGGTTTCGGGTTTAGGGTTTAGGGTTTAGGGTTTAGGGTTTGGGGTTTAGGGCCCCTCCCGGCACAAGACGTGTACTGCGCCCTGTGCTAAGCACTGACAACCTCCTGCGACCTACACCAGTTGCTTGGGATTCTTTTCCTACTCCTTGACGGCAAACTGCCTGCTCGATGTCCCAACCGGTTTTCGCAAAGGCGAAGCCGCTGACTGGACCTCACCACTATCGTTCAAGAGTCTTCGGTTGAGGGGGTTTGTCAACTTCGAGGCTTTTCGGGAAACTTCAACCTATTTTGCGGCCTGCATGCTTCTCAACGATTGTCGTCTTTTAACCGGATTAGAACCCCAAACCCTAAACCCTAAACCCTATACCCTACTAAACTAGAGTTTAGGGCTTAGGGAATGACGGTGCAGCGGACGGGTTCCCGGAGCGCGCCTGCGAAGTTCTTGACGGCACCCAGGAGTTCGGCAATGCCGTCGCAGATCTCCGAGGGGTTTAAGGAAATACCGGCGCCAAAAGGAGCAATCATGACCTGAGTGTTGGGGCTTGGTAGATACCCTAAAACGGTAGACCCTGCACCCTAAACCATAAACCCGAAACCC